TTCTACACAGAAAGTCACCTTGCGCCGTTGACGGCTCCATTCAACAGTGAGAGATGTGTAAAAAGTCAAAAAATAGATAAATTAATTTGTGTTTGGAGAGAAGGACAATGGAAAGAACGGAATTGCATGGAGTGGCCTCAATGCAGTTCATGAACTCTGGGGAAGATGTCAAGACCATAGATAAAGGTCTCAATAATAAATGGCACTGAGCATGGCTGGAGGAGACGGGGCGAGATGGCATTTAGCAGCTGGTGCAGGAATTTGGTATTAGATTTTCAAAAGTCAAATTTAGTCTTCAATCATTAATGCAATCTCTAATCCCATATATATAAGATATATATAATATAAATATATATACAATATAAGTTACCTCCTGGAAGTAGCATCCCATTTCCGATGCAGAAGGGGCACAGATGAGTGGTAAAACAGGATTTTTATGCATTTATTTTCTCAGGAAATACATTATTAACCTTTAACACATTATAGTTTATTACTCTTACTATTTTTGGGTAGGGAAAAACGTAATTTAGGTCTTCTTTACAAAATAAATTAGAAGGCGACCCGAATGTATATCTGGCTCCGCATGCGCAAATAAGCTGATGGTACGGATCCAGCTTTATTTTTTTTTTTATTATTAAAAAATGTAACTCTCTGAATTGAACCCATCCCCTTGTGGAGCAGTGGGCTGCCATTGTGCAGCGCCCGGGGGCAGTGTGGAGGTAAGGATCTTGCTCAGAGACCCAGAGTGCCGGCTGTGGGCTTGAACTCAGAACCTCTGGATTCTGAGCACAATGCCCTAACCACTTTGCCACACTCTTCCCAGATCAGGTGGTGACAGGCCCTCCACAGTCGCTCCTCATAGCTTTGGCCAGAAACAATAAAGACCTAAAAATAGTTTTACAATATACAGTTCAGATAAGACTGTTTCTTGCACCTTTTTTTCATGCTTTGTTTGCATAGAATCTTTAATTCTCTCATGATGCTACAAACTACAAATTCTTCCTTCATTTCCCCCAAAAAGGGAACCTTTCATTCATGAAAATGGTTTTATTGTATTCTTCTAAGTTTGATTACTTTCTTTGTTATAAACCTGCAAGTTAGATTTCAGAATGGAATTTTAATTTCTTTAATTTACCCACAAAAAACAAACAATTGATTAAGTAGTTGTTGAAAGTAAAGAGGAATATGTCGGTTTTTATTAACACATTTATTAACAATAAAGCCAAAAAAAACTTCTCTCATTGTAGGAGTCTAAAGCTTCCTGATGCTTGCGCTAACCAAACCAAACTTTGTTTACAATAACTTCTTCTTCTCCTGCTCTTTTTCTCTCTGCTACCTGAAGGCCTGACTTATAATGTGTCTCTTGGAGGGTTTGGAAGTAGGTTCTTCTCTTAAAAACACCTTTATATTTAATCTGACATTAAATATCATACATATATATATTTACATATAGATATATATATGTAAATATATACATATATTTCTATGTTTCTTTCACTGTTATCTTTGAGGGTTTTTTTTCCTGGGGGTGTAACAGTACATGTTTCTGTGGCAACAGTAATTGTACAAACTCATTTTGACAAACTGCAGCTAAATAGTTTTTATGTTTTCTATCAAAAGCAAATGAATTGATAAACTAATTTCTCCCCAGGATGTTGAGCATAGTAAAAACAGTCTGAAAATAAATCTTTTCTGATTTAATTTCAGCTTTAACAGAGTTTGATGGGATAAGAGTAGAGTTGATGATTTACAAATTGCAAACAAACTACGGCTTCAGTAGACTTTGGAAGATTAGCATTTGATGATAACAGCAGCTTTGGATTGTCTGTTTCTAATGATCAGTGTGTTGGGTTTTTGGTTATGAACAGTAGTGTTTACAATTGTGTTGTGGATGTATGGAAAGCCAGAAAGATCACAATTGGGGATGAACAGAAATAAAAAAAATTAGGAAACCGAGGCCGAAAACTGAAACATCAGAAGAAATTATATCAAATATTAGAACCAATGCAATTTTGGCTACGTTTACTAACCTTCACTAAACTTAAGGCATTTCAATAAATTAATTACAATTTATTAATTACAATCAAAAGATTTATTTTCCTCTGATATTATGTGTTATGGCCTTTGCCTTGGTTGAATCCCTGGGAAACGTTCTTGCCTTTTAAAACACGTCAGTCACAGACAGACAGACAGTGGTCATGTTCGGTGTCAGTTTCCTTTTCCATGTTGCTCCCCTCTCAGAATGGTGATGGGAACATTTGGACTTCTTTATTATAACTTTTGTGCCACTGACCTGAGCGAGCAGCCAGACTGATGTGCAGCATTAAAACTCACACATCGTCAAAACCCGTCATCTCTGAAAAACTCTGCTCCACCACTGCTCTCTGCATCCTGGCTGAGCTGTGTGCTTGCAATCTTTTTTTTTTCCCTGCGCAGGATAGGCTGTTTGTCAGGTCATCAAAAGCTTCGGCCGTATTGCTTCGATGTTAAATGTCTATCAGTCGAAAACTGAAAATGCACTTTTAGGTCATTTTCAGAGGAATTTTCACTGCATCCCCAATCACAATGTGTGTTTTTCTAATAGTACCATCTATTAAATATCATTAAAAACAGTAAAAGGTGTCGCTTGTGTTTAGAAAGTTTCAAGCCATTTTGGTAAGTGTTTAGTACTTTATTTTTATCCCTTATTCGTTTTTTATTTGGCAAAAACAACTTTAACCAAATAACGATTTGTGTGATATAGCCTCAGACCTTTGCCTCGCCTCACAACCAAATTCACTTTTTATGCCTCTGTTGTTTTTTCTGCTCAAAGTGAGAGAAATATCTAACATTTACCATTTTCTTTTTCCTGTTAAATTTAAAATTTTAAATGGAGTTACTTGCTGAACTGTGTACCGTTACACCCCTACCATTTACTTTAGCTCTGCTCATTTCATGTCCTACCTGCTTTTATACACTTCTTTTCATCATATAACCATTGTTGATGCTTTGGCATCATACCAAAACTGCAATTGCAAAAAAAAAAAAAAACATTACAGCCGCTCTATGATATAATAACTCATTTATTATTGAGAAGAACTAACTTTAAATATTATGTTGTGATAATAGGAGGAAAAGATGCTATAATCCTGAACACACGTTTACCTCAGCAAGTTGAATCGCTTGATCCTCCTCAACAGGAAGGTAAATATTCAGTTTGAGTGTTTATTAGTCTTTCCCATCTGTAAGCAAACTGAGTAATAATGCTTTTTTTATTATTATTTTTTTTGTTTCTACAGGTTTTAGAGTTTCTGGAATTACCCTAAGCAAAGCCAGTCCAGCTCAAGATGAGGTCCAAACATCTACCGTTCTTGAAGCGTCCAATCCAACCCTTTCACAGCAGCTGCCAGAGGAAGGCCCAGAGAGTGCCGAAGCAGAGGCAGCAGACAGTGAAAACTGCCCTAACGTGACAGATCGCAGACTCAGACAGATCGTACACATTCGTTACACCAGGAGCCTGTGAGTGACGCCTGTCCGAGTGAACTTCCCTCATCGTCCGATCTCAGTCATCACTGTGAGAGCTCTGAACTAATCACAAGAAGATGGGAACCAGAAGGAAGCAACAGACAGGTGGAAGCAGCAGAAATAAGGTCTGCCGAGAACAGGCAGCAGAGGGACGTCCAATCAGACGAGGAGGCTCTTCTATGTAGCAGTGACGATACTCGGAGTCTTCCAGAAGAGGCTCTCTTTTTCTCGCAGCATTTAGGAAAAGATCCTGTGGATCTACAGCAGGTCTCTTAGCTTTGTCTGAGCTCTGATTGTTGGAGAGGTCTCAGCTGTGTCTCTTTTTCACATTCAGATTACTGAATGCCTGATTTCCTAACTGCTGCTTTAACGGCGCCCACTGCTGGCTGTTAATATATAGTACGCACAGGAAGAAAAGCTGATCTAAGGTGATACGAAGCACAGAGCAGCTTTAATCTTTGAAGCAGAACTTATCTGATGCTATAATTTAATGCAGCACATCTGTCTCATGTCTGATGTAGTCCTACTTTACGCTTTATTGTGATGCATCACTTCAGAGACATTCTATTTTTTTAGACGTTACCACAAACAGACTCCTATAGCTTTTGCTTTTTAGTCACATTAAAGATTTTATCATTGATCCATTTAGAGGCATATTTCAGACCTGCAGTCTCTTAAACTTGATCAACAAAGAGACATTGATGGCCAAAGGTATTTCCACACACCTGGAAAAGAGATGTCCTAAAATATTTTATTGTAGTTGAATAATCTATATAATACCTGAGTATATTTGTTCTGTGGGGAATTAAAGCAAATTTAAGTTTTGTTGTTTTTTGTTTTCTAATGCCTTGGTGGTTGCCTTTATTTAGCACTGTTATCAAAACATTGTACAGCCTTTTAATGTTTTCTTCTCTGGTGCTGCCCACGTCAATCCTACACCCTGCTTATAAACTCACAATGTGAGTTTTCTACACAAAACATCTTTTTGCTCTGTGGATGCTTTTAATGCAGACTTCAGAAATCCTCTTTGTCATTTTTCAAAATATTTTCCCCCAAGATCACATAAAATACAATATTTTCAGACGCCCCCATCGTGTTTTTCTGAAACCTCAATTATTAGTGTTCAGTTTGGTTTTTGATCCAAAGCATCGCTTCACTGTTATATAACAGCTGTTATATAACTTACCCCTTTTTTTTTTGCCATAGTTAATGATTACAAAGACTGCAAGAAAAAAATGGGTATTTACACATTATTGTACAGTAAAATATTTCTATTAATGCCTCTATCTGAATTTTACTTACAGATAACCACCCATAAGTTTTAATGGTTGATTTCTTGTGGAAACTGCAATGAACAGGAAAATAACTTACAGACACGTAAGCTGCTCTATTTGGGGGAAAAAATAAGTTTAACAGAGATTTGTTAATACAGCCAGAGGTTCATATAGCTGGGAATTATTTTTGTGACTTCAGAAAACATGATGGCTGCTACTTTATACAAAGTTTTATCAGGATAACTTTTTATTGTTCAAAGAAAAACGTTACAGGTTTAGACAAGTTATGTAGGCTCATATTTGATTCATTTAGGTCAAGTGAAATTGTCAGAAAAGCTATTATCTATAAAATACTGTAATTTCAACTGTTAGTAAGCAATTACTAGTTGTTTTTTTGTATCTTTGTGGAAACCTATTTAAACACCGGGATAGATTCTGCTGGGAACAACACTTCCCTGTGTTGGGCCTAGCCCCTCCTGAACTGCCTTGCGGCACACAGATGTTGAACCTCCCAAAGGCTGGAGGAGGACATCCCGATGACGCAGCATGCCAGCCGACGGCCTGCATTGCCATGCAACAGGCTTCCGGCGTCTCCGCCACGCCCCAAGTCGTCCATCTTTTCGTGGATCACCACCGCCCTTCCAAGCACAGACAGGCCTCCAAACAGCGTAGCATCTGATTCAATCAGTGCACTGATTTTCCCCTCCTGAGGGGAGAAGTTCCCAAAGTCTCCTGGGTGTTGAGAGTGGTTGACACCATATGGGTTGTAGTGGCCACCGGTTGAGTCACATCCCCTGCTGAGGTCTCCGTACTGATGGATGTGCACGGCTCTTGGTTCTGAAGAAGCCTCTTCAGGGAAGCCACTAAGGCGGAGAAGGACATGAAGCCTTTGTTCTGAATGCTCCTGTTTGAACAGCACCTGGCCGTATACCTTGGGAAGCCCCTCGGGAAATAAAGTGCTGGGTCTCACTTTGCAGGCTGCATACAGGGTTCCATTGTACTGAGAGACCTCTGGAGGAAGCAGAGTATCGGTGTGTGCTGAGACGCATTGACAGCAGGCCAAAAACAGCAGCAGAGCAGCCTGCAGTCCACCCAATGACCTGGAGCACAATGGAATTAGTCAAACAATGCAAAAGAATGGATTATGTGAGCCATTAATTTCATAATAAGCACCAAAATCAACAATTACATATTTTAAGTTAATTATCCTGTAGTCTTTAGAAGAAAAAAAAAAACAACTTGGGAGTTTTATGATGAGATCTTCACCACTGATGATAAAGAGATATTACACCATCCAATCAGCTGTTAAATGTAAAACATGGCATAGATAAATGTATACTAGCAGATGTTAAACTTAAAAAACAATAACAGATCTTTTTTTTTTTTACTCTGTTGAATAATATATAACATGGGTTGGCTAAAGCAGGGCTTTCATAATCAAAGTTCACTCCCATGTGTCCTACTAATGATCTAATCATTTGAGTTGTGATAACGTAGGGATGAAATCAACCCTCTGGAGCTGGAGTTTGAGACCGCTGACCAATTCAACAAAAAAAATTAGTAACCATTATATCTTTAAAATGGCAAGATATAAAAAAATCTCTGTTTGGATGGAATAAAAAAAGGACAGAACAAAAACTAAAGTATGCACAGTGGTGATCATGGGAAGCCAGCTGCTTTAAAACATCAGATCAATCCAACAAATTTTGCATTTATGTGTCCAAATTGGAACCTATACCAAATGATCTGGGGAAACAGTTTTACAAGACTTGTTCTAATTGATAGATTCTTGTAACTAGGAATTTAAAGCATAGATGCAGAAGAAGAAAAAAAATGTTTTTTGGGTTTTTTTTTACCATGAAAACTGTATTGAAGGTATGGCCTGGATTTGTGTTTTTGAAGCTCATTGATATTAAAATCAGATTAATAGAACAAATGTTTGGATTTTTATAGCCACGTGTTGTTTTGTTGCAGATATTGTCCTTCTGTTTGTTTTACGTCTATAAAAGCAACTGGCTGACCGCTTTAAAGGCTTTCATAAACTTATTAAGTAAGCTTTCCATAATTGAAAACAACAAAAAACATTTGATTGCGTTCTTGCTGTGCCATGAATAAAAAAATTGTATAAAAATCGCGCACTTACCTGTTTAGACGCATGGTTGGCGATGAAAGCAGCAACACGCTTCGATGTTTCTTTGGTTGATCTCTAAAAGGCGATGAAGCTGTTTCCTAACAGTGTCCGTGCGCGTCAGTGCGCGTTCACGTGATGAGGGGTGGAGCGGCTTTTCTTCAGCTGGTTTTCATTGTTGAGAGTTTTTGCAGCACCCACGTCAAAAAACTCTGCAAATAGACTGAATGGTTAGTGCAACGTTAGTGCAGATTTGTGCAGAAAAAAATATTGTTTGTGCTACTTTTGTTTAAGAGATATTAAAGATTATTTTTTAGGTCATCCAGAGGTCACCATCCCCCCATTAAACTCCAATTTGAACCAAAGTGGTCTCATTTTTTAGTGCTTCGTTTGTGCTGATTTGTGCAGTTAAAACGGTCATTTGTGCTATTTTAGTTTTGAAGATATAATCATTTAAATCTTTGGCTGATGACGTCACCATCCCCCCATCAAGCTCCGATTTGATCCAAAGTGGTCTCATTTTTTAGTGCTTCGTTTGTGCTGATTTGTGCAGTTAAAACGGTCATTTGTGCTATTTTAGTTTTTAAGATATAATCATTTTAATTTTTGGCTGATGACGTCACCATCCCCCCATCAAGCTCCGATTTGAACCAAAGTGGTCTCATTTTTTAGTGCTTCGTTTGTGCTGATTTGTGCAGTTAAAACAAACATTTGTGCTGCTTTACTTTTTAAGATATAATCATTTAAATTTTTTTGGCTGATGACATCACCATCCCCCCATCAAGCTCCGATTTGATTCAAAGTGGTCTCATTTTTTTGTGCTTCGTTTGTGCTGATTTGTGCAGTTAAAACAAACATTTGTGCTGCTTTACTTTTTAAGATATAATCATTTTTATCTTTTGGCTGATGACGTCACCATCCGCCAATCAAGCTCCGATTTGATCCAAAGTGGTCTCATTTTTTAGTGCTTCGTTTGTGCTGATTTGTGCAGTTAAAACAAACATTTGTGCTGCTTTACTTTTTAAGATATAATCATTTTAATTTTTTGGCTGATGACGTCACCATCCCCCCATCAAGCTCCGATTTGATCCAAAGTGGTCTCATTTTTTAGTGCTTCGTTTGTGCTGATTTGTGCAGTTAAAACAAACATTTGTGCTGCTTTACTTTTTAAGATATAATCGTTTAAATTTTTTGGCTGATGACATCACCATCCCCCCATCAAGCTCCGATTTGATCCAAAGTGGTCTCATTTTTTAGTGCTTCGTTTGTGCTGATTTGTGCAGTTAAAACAAACATTTGTGCTGCTTTACTTTTTAAGATATAATCGTTTAAATTTTTTTGGCTGATGACATCACCATCCCCCCATCAAGCTCCGATTTGATCCAAAGTGGTCTCATTTTTTAGTGCTTCATTTGTGCTGATTTGTGCAGTTAAAACCGTCATTTGTGCTGCTTGCATGTCCGATTCAAACTATATTCTCTATACTTGCAGGTGATGATCACAACCGACTACATTTATTACACATCTACAACTGCTGTTTTTGTTTCAGGCCGCTTTTTATTCTGTAAATTCTTGTCAGTAATTTAGTCTGGGACAAAAGTAAATTATATCTCACTGCCAACACTGGAAAGAAGGGAAGTCTTTTTTAAATGTTTCTACTGATAAATCAGTGTCATTATTATGAAGATTACCGAGCCTGTTTGTCCCCTTCTTATTAGATTATTTATATATTCATGCTAATTGGCAAAGATCTCTAGGGAAACGTGTTTTTATTGTTATTTTATTATTATTTTTTTTGTACTTTCCACTGTTATAAGAATACTTATTTTATACAGTGGCTTGGTTGCCCCATGCTGGAAAGGAAAGTAGTTATTCAACAACAGCAGTTGTTGTCCGCAGTCAGAATGCCTTGGTGGAAGAAGATGTGGCCAGATGCAGCGTTTGGTCTAACCACTGTTCTCAAGAAAGCAGTTAATTTCATATATTTGTTTTATATTGCAAGTTGTTTTAGCTGTTATTGTTGTTATGTGTTTTATATTGTTTTGTATTCCCTAATAAAGATTGATTGCAGCGTGATTTATTGTGCCTCATTTAAAGAACTTTGCTTTAGATAGCAATGTCAACAAAGCCACCAATATATTAACCTTTCTCCACAGAAATGCAATATTGTTGTCTCACAAATGGAGAGGGGGACACACCTGCCTGAGCCTGCACATGATCAAATCCTCACATTCTGCAACAGTTATATACTATACAAACTTCTACAAATATTTTACCTGTTACTTATATTCCATTATTATTATTCTAATATTGTAACTGTGATTTCTTTTAAGGTGGTTTTGATAGTCGTATTCACATTGTTGACCCTTATTTTCCGCACATTGAGCAGCAAACTGGTTTAAAAAAATAACTGAGATGCGCCAGAAGGATGAAGTTAGAAGTGCACAGCACGTAGGCAATTGAGTGTCATTTCAATAAACCAAATTCTTTATGCTTAAATAAAATGCATCAAGCTTTAATTTGTAACTTATGACATTAAATGTAAGAGTTATTAAAACAGCATTGACTGTTTGGCAAATTTGAAGTCCTCACACGACTTTACAGTGAGTGATGCCACCTAGTGAGTCAGTGAACTCTGAGTAGAAAGATAGCAAATTAGATCATATATATTAATAAAAGTGAAATCCTTTAAACTTCAACATCTGTCAAACGTGATTTTAGAGCAAGGTAAGATAATAAATAATGGGAGATGCATGGTTGAATGCTATACATACAGGGCTAGCAGCCACATGGCAGTAAATGTTAGCAACAAATAAGGTTTTAGTAACAAACATGTCACGATCAACAGCAACTACGTTATTTTTAGCTAAGTTGGCCAGGGTATCCAATATTTAATTTAATACAAAGCAAACAGATTTCTGTAAATCCAAAATTCAATTACATTTTAATTCCAGATTTTTTAAATTTATTAAAACATACAGTTATCTATGATTAGGCACATCTGTAGACTCCACGGGGCTAAGGCACATTTTTAAAGTTGAACTAATACTTTAAATGAAAGTTAACAAGCCATAAAAATGCTATATGTGCAATAACCAAAAAACAGACTATAATTACAATTAAGCATAAAAGGCATATTGATTTAGGGAAGAACAGTAATTTAAACTGAAGTTTTTAGTTGTAGCAGAATTCTATATGTCAGAATATTTGTATTAATGCTAATCAAATTCTTTTTATCCTTCAACGAGATACCTCGAAAGCCATCAGTAGACAGGGATTCCCTTTTTGCAGTTGTCTGCAATTCAAAAGAGGCCATCCTTCTAAATGGCAAAATAGCCACTCCTGCTGCTGCTATTTGGACTGAATTAAGTCAGCAGCTGGAAAACAAGATGTCTCCAAAAGCTGTGTACACTTTCGTAAAGTTAAACAGACATAACATCTGGTCATGAGTTTGACTCTGGCTCTATTTCTTCAGGAGTAGGCAGCTGCTCATGTTTTCAGATTGAAGTCCCTTTTGAGGAATGGATCAAATTTCAAAAGAGCTGTGTGAGGGCAGGATGGAGCCGGCTGTATGGAGGTCAGCAAAGGCATCGGAATTGATGGATATTGGAGATCCTGAACCAAGTCACCTCCCAAATTTGGCGACCCTACGAAAAGCAAAGCAGGAGAAAAAAGATTTAGAATTAGGTGACAAAGATCCAATTCTGTCTTTGCAGTTGTCAAAATATAGCAAACACAACTGAATTTCCTTTGTGTAAATGTCCCTCTGTTGTGGCTCCCCAAGGAAAGACACTGACCTTAAAAGGAGTGATCGCTTTCAAGGCTAGCTCAACCAAACACGGTCTTGGACATTACACTGCCTACTGCCGAAGAGCTCCATGTACTGTATGTGGGAACTTTATGATGATCTGGCAAAGGTAGTGAAGACAGTGCCTGAAAATACCTAAGTACAACCACATGCTGTGTTATACACAGCAGATTGAATGCTGTTAAGAAATATACTTTGGAGGTCAGTTTTGAGAAGCCCAGAAGAGTTCCCAGTTGTTAGGACCATATTACAGTTTTAAAAAGGCGTTTTCTTTTATCAAAATGTTCAAATGTTAACATAAAGTTTGTTTTCCAAATCAGAAGTGTTTGTTCTTCTTTGAAAGTAAAAGGTTTATTACATATTCAAGGGCACTTTGTTATAGTTGATTTTTGAAGTCATACTTCATTACATTATCGTATTTTCATCTCTCTTTTTATTTATCTTTTGTATTATTTGTAAAGTGACCTTGAGTGTCAAGAAAGGCGCTGCTAAATAAAATGTATTATTATTATTACTCCTTTTTGGTGTTTCTGCACCAAAAAATAAGCTAATTACAGTTTATAGGCTAGCAGTAAACTTTAACAAAATACAGCACTGTGGTTAGACTATAAAGTAAAACAGCATCTGTAAGGAACAATATCCAAATTTTTTTGTCTGTTTAAGCTAAAGGTTCAATTAGGCTGAAGGTCCTCTCCAGTTCATTACTAGCTTCATGCGTGGAGTGGGAAATATTGTCCAACAATTAATATATTGGCTTAATTAAAGAATTAGAAATTACTAACAATGTAGAGCAATTTGTTTTTATTTAATAAGCTCAGCATAAACGTTATATTAAAAACGTAGCAGTCTGCACATAAAGTATTACTGGGCTGCAAATCTTAATAAAACTTTTCATTCCAAGGTTATTGTTGATAAATGAAAAAGAGCCAACATGGATGTTCTATGTAAGACACAGATACAGTTTGTTTTGAACCTACTGGTGATGGTAAATGACACAGCTTCATAATAATGTCACTGCTTTATCAGTAGAAATACATAAAAATATGTACTGAAGAAAACTAGAAGACTTATAAATGAGGTTCAGGTGCACTGGTGTCTGCCTGGAAGGTCGGTAAAAATACTTACAGAGTGCAGCTTTATTGGAGGGCTAAGGTATACAGGTAGTAGATGCAAGGATCTTGAAGTTGGTCTAAAGAAAAACACAAATAATATCATACTAAATATCAGTAATAATCAGTAAGCATAAAGTTAGTAATCAGGCATGAAATAACATTCACCATAAAGAAATATAATTTAGCCTGCTGACACCTAGTGGTCAATCTAGCCCAAAAAACTTAACTCAACAAGATGATAGTCAAACAG